TGTTTTTTCAAGATAACGATATTACATTTTTCCGCGTCGCAAAATTATCCACCTTTGGATTTGTTCTTTTTGTTTTTTTTTTATTGCGGATAACACTTGTATTTTTTCCCGTCAAATAATTGCACGTCGCGCCGTCAATAATTTCGCGTGCGTCGTTTAAATATTTGAGCGCGACGATAAAATGCGCTTATGAAACCTTGATGGCACTCAGCCGAGCGCGGAATATCAACTCTTTGATAATTCGGCGCGTCGCTGACCCAGATATAAAGTCTTTGGCGTCATCGGCGAACGGCATCGCGTCCGCCCGAAAAATCGTTGCTCGTCGTCAAATCGCCAGTTTGTTGTCGATCCAGAGCAGAGCGAGCCGTTCCGTCATCTTCATGCCCGGCGTGGCGGACCGTCACGCGACAATTTCTCCCTCGGCATCTTCGCTCCGCGTGCCTCGCTTCGGCAGCACGCTGAGCTCGGGGAGGGCTGCAGCAGCTCGCGCGTCCTGCGTCTCTCTCCTTCTTCTTCCTCTCGCCCTCCTGAGGTACCCGGTCACTCCTTCCACGCGCTCGTTTTGCCAACTTTCGACGCCTATTTCATTTACATTTTTTTTTTTCAGCGCGCTTCTCATCCTTCTAGCCGCGTTTCACGGACTTGCACTCGCCTTTACTGCGACGCAGCCGCGAAAGAGCCTCATTTTCCGCGCGACTAATATCAGAGTCGACGAATCGTCGAATGGGGAAAATCTAATCGTCCGTCCAGGGTGTGCGTTATTGAAGGATGCTCGCCCAAGAAAGCTGTGACCTCGCGTCTCGTATATTCTCTCTCTCTCTCTCTCTCTCTCTCTCTCTCCCTCGCGGAGCGAAGCCTCGCCGAAAGATCCCTCGTCGCGGGCAAGCAGCCGCAAACGGTTACGTCCACTTAAAAGAGCAAGAAAAAAAAGCAACACAAGGATCGATCGAGCGTGGTCGTGTACGTGCTCCGCCCACGTTCGCGGCCACTCTCATTCATAACGACGAACGGCAGCGGCTATCCTTTCGCGCGGAAAAGTCGCGAGCCGTCGACGTAAATTCAGACCCGAAGCTGACGTTCCTCTCTTTTTTTTTTCCTTTTCGCGTGCTCCACCGTGGGCCGCGTCCCTTTTATCTCGCTCGTCGTCTCGCGCATATTTTACGGGCGAGCGCCGGAAGTGTATTGCCATCGCGCGCGTGAAAAAAAATAAATAAATGACTCGCGCGTGGGCAAGACAAGTGCACGCGCGCGTCGCGAGTAAGAGAGAGAGAGAGAAATATGAGTATCGCATACACTGTACTCCTCTAGATGTTATAATTCGGATAGGATTCGCGCAGCGATCGCCAGCGGAAGCTGCTCCTCGGGCGCCAGATCTCGGACGTTTGGCCCGCTAGCGGGTCGTCGATCGAATTCGAGTTTGTTATCCTTTCCTCGCGTCCGTATATAATGTGCCGAGTTCACGCGTAAACGTATCGAAATAGCTCCGTTCCTCGCGACAAAGACGTCAGAACGGACGAGTTTCCGACGAAATTTCAAATCCAAGAGTGACACTTAATTTCGATTCGAGCATGGATGTACCGGCGAGTCATCTCGCGAATCCCGGTTGCCATTCGTACATTCGAGAAAGCTATCGAAGACAAAGCAACAAAAAAGAAACAACGGTGCTTGGTCCCAACTATACGAGCGCCGAAAAAAAGCCGCTCATCCGCGCCAATCCGACTGAAAAGATCGAAAAAGAAGAAGAAGAAGAAACGTTGGCAATCGATCGCACCCTCTCTAAGCGACTTCCACATTGCAAGTGCCGGCGATCGTTATTCAATACAGCAATAATGCAATCCGGCGCGAGCTGTGCATCGCGGAGAAGCGGAAAGCCGGAGGCGGTGCATGCATATAGTAGTCCGAAAAGAAACCGGCGCGAGGAGAGAGGCGAGAGACCGAGTGCGATAGGGTTCGTTCAACTCTGCGCTCCGCGAGCGCGCACACGGCCGCAGGATTAAGGACGGTTAATCGAATTTCGGAGAAGGTACGCACGCATACGCGACTCCAGATGCTCCCCCCCCCCCTGCCGAAATTCTTGACGGGCTTGACCGATTGTCCGTGCCGGCAGGTGGACCCCAGGCTGAGCAGCAATTTTCGGTCGCTATCGGTATTTACAGTTTTGCCTGCGGCGTTGCGTCTACGAGTTCATAAACATTCAATGCCTGCAGTTAATTACTCGACGTATTGTTCTAGTTGCATTATTAATGCGGCTTTGGGTTTATTCGTGCGTTCGCTAAGCGAACGGCAAGATCGTGAATGAGCACTGCGACAGCTCGAATTCAGCTATTGCAATTGACACATGTGTACACTGTACAGCTCTTAAACACACGTCTCGACGCATTTTGCAAACATCTTACTTCCCACTCTTTAAATAACCTTTTTCCTCGTTAACCTTCAGAAGCTGCGACGTTATTTTTCGCAAAAAAAAGCAATTCCCTCGTAAAAGAAGAAAAATCTGTCACACTTTCCTCCGGCAAATCGAATTATACGCGCGCGAGTATTCGTAATCGTGTCGCCAAGATCGACACAACTTTTGTTTTCCTTTATTGACGTCAGCACAGCGGTAGCCTCGCGCAGATCCATTTCTCTCTTTGTATTCAAAAACGGCTGCGATAACTAAACACAGTGCCATATTGCAACCAGAAATTCAATTAGAACAAGTTTTCCTCCGAGAAGCTAGCTATTACTCATCATCGCGAGGCACCATGTTTTTCGTTATACGCGCAGTTGTTTCCAATTAAATTCTCACGGTGGAAAGGAGCATCGAATGACAAACGTCGCACTCAAGATTAATTGGAGCGTGAATACTTTTCGAAATGTATATTCACGTGATTTTGGCGACTTGTAAATAAAACAGAAAGCGAATTTTTTTCTTCGTTTGTGATCGTTGTTTTTGAAAAAAAACATGTATCTTTCCTTATCGTCCAGGCAACGTAATAAAAGCTGCCAATAATCTTCTGCAAAAATGAACTTTTTAACCCAATAACCCAAGAATCATCTACAAAAATGGACTTTTTCCGGCCTGCTAACTACGAGATAACAAGCTATGCGCGCTGACGTAATGAATCCGAGAGGATATATATATATATTGGCGTGTCGACACGCGTGACACAAAAGGCGCCGAGCGCGAAATTTTTGCATTTATGCTAGTCAGAAAAGGCGTAAGATTGGCAATCAATTTCAAACGTACGAATAATCAAAAGATAATATTTTAATCGAATTGAAACTCGACTTGTTATAGGAAATTCAGCAAGAATGTTTACGCTGATGATTAAACGTAAACACATATGTCGAAACGGGGGGGGGGGGGGGGCGTAAACAATATGCGAAAAAAAAGGTCGTGCGGTGCCTGCATCCCACGCACAAGGAAGTCGAACTGACCTTTTCAACTGGGACGTGTCTCATTCTCTCTCTCTCTCTCTCTCTGTTTTTTTCGGCACGACGCAAGACACGAATTTTACGAGGGACACTTGGGAGCTTTTACGCGCGCGTTTATTATACTCGTTGCACGTCCGCATGGGTCGTGCGTGCGAGCAGTGAATCTTCCGCCGATTGTTGGCGAATCGTAAAAAAGTTAGCGTTGTATTGTCGAGCTGGTAGAGAATTTTTTTTTTCCACCGTCGGAGATCCTTCATTGTCGTCAATGTGTGGGCTGTTTTTTAATCAATCTGTGCAAGTGGGAAGAATGAATGGCCACGCAGACGTACAGTAATTTGCACAATGACCATGTTTCCTTATTCAGTGTAATGGTTGATCTTTCGATAAGGATATCAATTAGTAAAATGATCCCGTGTTGCAGAAGAACCGTGAAGGCAATATGAATGACGAAAAAGTTGGACTGTCGCACCAGCGATTTTTTTCTCCCTGCATACCACCGAATTCACCACACGTAGCGCGCTCGCGGTCACGAAATTCAATCGCGCACTTCGGCCATCACTGCGGAATGAAAAAAATAATCGAAAGATAAATACGTCAAGCTCTAAATTCCCATGATCTAATTATGACATATTAGCGGTGCGTCTTTGGCCTGCTTTCAATAATGCAGGTTTTAGTTACATCAGAGAGAAAGAGAATTCTTGAAGCCGCTATAAAAAGAAATGTAAATGACGTTTTCGTGTGCAGCAGCAGCAGCAGCAGCGGTGGTGGCGGCGGATGTGTTTCGAATTTTCCGTTCTGACGCTGTGCCAGAGACGACGTCGATGCGCTAGCTGTTTGTTTTTCGAATGAACTTCCCAGCTGACGCCGGATAATTCGATCGAGGAAGTGTGCCCGTTATATAGCTTGGACGTATTTCAACGGATGCTTGATTTCTCGGCTTTCATCATTTCATTTTGCAAAATCGAACGACGAATGATGGGCAGAAATAAAAATGATATTAAGTCATTTGGTATGTGCGACGATAAAGAAACAAAAAGAACCCGAAGCATAAAGTAATTAAATTAACGCAATCGACAACTACATAAGTCATTTAAAAATGATCTCATCAATTGAAACCAAGTACCTTATTACAGCTACTTGAACTTGTCATTGATACAATCGACTAAACTTTGATAAATGCTTATTAAGTTTTTCTATATTTTAAAATCTATTTTAGTGTTAAATTCAGTTTATTTCGAGGCGCTTCACGCTATCAATCAGATATTCGACTTTTCGAGCGTTATTCGTATTTGTAACCTCCCTTTCACAGGTAGTAAGTACAGAAGTTATTTTATGCAGTTTTCAATTAATAATTCATGAGACTAGAATTGAATGACTAAAGAAGGAAGTTATTTTTACTTAAATGGATAGAGTATGGTAAACAGATTAGAATCCATCTGATAATATGATATCAATTGGTTCTTCGCTAATGGCTTATTCAGACAACAGCCAGAGCATTGGCATTGAATGAGTTAATTATCGAAGGAAATTTATTTTGACTATGGCTTGATCAATATTAATTGAATAATATTTATAGGGCTAACCTGTTGCCAAAACGCTCCTTCCAAAATTCGGCTGCGTCTGCTTTAGTAATGCGAAACTGATCACCAGCAAACACTCCATTAGGAAATATGGCTTTCAGTTCAGAAAGCATGTGACTAAACACCAAACTAAGTTTTGTTAAATTTCTTCTGTAGTGAGAAGTTTCATCAAACATTTTTTCCTTGCCCTCCTTGAACAGTTTGATGGCCTGTTTGCACTTTCTCATTAGATTGTTTATAAATACACAGAAATGCTCATTGTTGTGAAGAACATGCATACGATCTTCATATTTGCTATAAATGAGCCTCAGTCGTTGATATGTGTCTGGCAATATATCCAGAATGAAAGGTGGAGAATTTTTTAGGTTCATGCGTTGGTGCTGACAAAGCTTCACAACTTTATCCATTAATTTCCACGTCTTATCAAGCATTCGTTTGTCTGTGGAGAGTTTTGGTGGCGTCATTGCGTCAGCAAAACGACCTTGCAGCTTCTGGAAGATCGAGCTGATCTGCACTGCTCGACTTCTGCTGCTGTGACCAGATGACATCTTGGCTCTGAAAGTTATTGTATATATTTCATAAGATGTACTGCATTATTACATAAATAGTAAAATATATTTTGACAACAGTAGCTTGTTATGAGTAGTAAGTTAATTCAAAAGTAATTGCATACTACATGAAGTAGATATTACAAATGTAATAGATAATAAATGGTAATAGATATATAAATAGAAAATTGATAAGTTTTATAAGTTAATAACATTTTGCAAAACCAAACAAAAACACTGACTCGATAAAGAAAAAAACAGTCATACAAATTTTTTGTTCACTTGAATATGATAGTTACAATTAGTTAAAATCTACATAATAAGGAAAGTGTACTGAATCAATTGAGACTGATTAACATAACTAGGTTCGCCAATTCCAATCAAATAATCTGAACGTTGAACAAATGATAAATCAATGACACAGCTTACGAAGCTAAAGATATGTGATACACAAATCATTATATCATTCACACATACACTCACAAGCACAGAATCACTCGTATACATCCCAAGCACCTTCCAACAACCATGCAATCATCTTTGAAAAGCCATAGAATCAGAGACATCTCATTACCGAGATAAATAGAAGTCTGGCTGTATATATCTCGTGTCTGCGAGGGGAGAAAAGATGCGTCGGCAAAGATGCAACAGTTCTCTGAAACGTCGACTAGACGAGTTTCACTCGTTGGTGCTGCTGCTGCTTCTTCCTCCTCGTCCAGAAGAGGAGGTGTCGCACCGAAAGGGGCATAGGTACACTGCACTCTGTCCCGCTTCACCACGTACAATATGTACACTGTTAGAGATTTCAACTGCGAGATCGTCCTTTCTCTCTCTCTCTCTTTCTTCGCGTATAGGCTCTCACTCTCTCAATGGACGCGCGTTCGAGGCTGCTCTCTCAGCCGGTGCACTGGCGTCGTCGCGAGCAGTAGCCGCGACGTCGAGGTCTCCGCATTTTGAAGCTTTGAAGTTCCACGCACGAAAAATTGTAGCTCGTAAACGCGACTGTATATCAAACAAAAGTGAATGCAAAACTTGGATGAAGCTATGTATCGTTGCAATAATCAGAGATTACATGACGCGATATTACTCAGACAGTAACTAAACGAAATATCTGACTCCTCTCGACTCTGATACTACTGTACTGTACATACTGGTACTACAGAGTATAGACTAAGACATACAGTCTGCAGCACTTTCGCTCTGGCTGCTATTGCTGCTTGGCGTCGATGCGACGCCTCACGGTGACACTATCAACTAGCTGCTTGAAAAACATGATCGTGCCTGTGTGTGTACGATTATGAGACAGTGTACGGGCATCGTGCATGCTCGGCTGAAATCGTCGTCCGTCGGATTATTTCGGGATATATATAACTACTATCATATAGTTTTGAGGGCAGCACGTGATGGTAGCGCTAAAATTGAAAATTTAAAATGATACAATGCTTATCGATCATTGATAAATGAATGTAAAATCATGATCACAAGAGGATCGATATTGTTACGAAAGAGTATGATAATGAAAAACTCATGTAAGAATTTCCAAATAGTTTTATTAACGTTCTTGTTCTTATTTCTAATATTTTACAATTAGAGGAACAAAATATCATACATTTCGCTAAAATGTTCATCAGAATAAAGCCTAGTTATAATGTATTTTGATAAAACATAAAAAACAGTAAACAGGGACTTGAAATTATTTCATGCAAAAATAAGTTGCATTAACCCCACAATTTGAACTCGCAAATTTATTTGGCAATATGGCAATATAATATAATTACTGTTTAACATTCAATACTTATTTAGAATCTGTTGGTGGATGACTGAATACACGCTTGTTGAATAAGCGTTTTTGAGGTAAATCGAATGAGCACCATGTTGAAAAATAATCATACATTTCATAGGTGTCAAGTTTATGCAAAAATATTAATTCCTTAAATACAACTTATTTAGGATAACAAAGACTTGATTTAGTATGAAGCAGTTTTTTACATTGCTTTTCAATTTTACAATAAGCGTAGACGTCGTACTTCTGGTATTGCTGTCCGCAAAGATCAATTTACCATTTTTAACAACGTTAAAAAATCTACTTTAGCATGACAATACTTACAGAATGAAACAAAGAAAAAAGAACTATTACACAAACAGTTCAACTAACTAATTTTCTGTTGTAAGTGTTTTGACATGTCAATTTGCTACTTGTTTTTTTAATAGTATAGATTAAGAGTTAAAATGTATTGACTATAAAGAAAACTTATAATAATCAGTAAAATATCAACAAAATAATATTTCGTAAAAGTACATCGAAAATATCCTGTACAATGTTTACATACAGGATTACACTCTAAACGAGTTCGGATGTCACGAATTATGACTTTTAGTGCCGTAAAGTTTTCATTTAACTAAGAATTGTCAAAATGAAAAGTTGATCGGCTAAAATGCATTACGTTGTTTTAATTAAAAATAAATTTATCTCAAATTTTGCAAATGACAATTTGCAAAATATATCCATACTCCTTTTACATGTACAACATTTGGAAACGTACGCTGCATAAAATTCAAAGGTGCGTACGTGTTTGCGGGTAGAGTAATTGCGTTAAGGCTATAGTTCTTTTCTGAAGGAACTATAAGCTTGAGAAATCTGGAAAGAAGCTTAGTTCAGCGTGTGGATGTCTATAAGACCTGACTCTACATGGCTCAAGATCTATTGAACAATTATATCAAAGACCATTGAATTGTTGATAGTAAGGCGTCACCGATTGTCGAAGTAGTAGCTTAGCCTTAGTAACACGAAGCTTGTTATAAAGAACCAGCTAGCTGGTATTGATGCCAAAATACGATATCTTTCATCTGTAAAAGTAAATGAATTTTATGCAAATCATTTTTTGTTATTATCGTTACTCATAACACAAATAAACAAAACAAACTCGGGATTTCAATTATAATACTTTGATATTATTTTCACTTTATATGCATGCAAGTGATTTGAGGAATAGGTTAAAGGGGATGAGGATTGTACGAAGCTTTAGAATAAAATAATACTTATGCTGAAGCATAATTTAAAGAAATCAGTCTATGTAATAACAAAAATATAAATACTCTATAGTACTAGTAACAATATACACCTACTAACTAAATGTAAACTGTACATTTGTATAAAAAATAAAAACGAATACAATTTTATACAAAAGTTTCGAGGAAATAATACATTAAAAACGTTTTATTTTTACAATATAAAAGAAAGTAAGCGAGAAATACGATGTATCTACCTACATAAAAGTATAAAAGGATAGCAACTACTGTAATACATTATAAATAATTTAGACTAACTACGAAGTACGTGAATCAATGATGGGATTGACAAGAGAATCCTTTATTGTATCCATATTTTCAGTCTTCAAATCAGCAGAACATTTATTGTTACCTGTCATTTGTGGAGACATTTTGATTGATGACCAACCAAGGCTCCTTTGCACAGCCATTTTCCATTTTTTATACCTCGTGTCGCGATCTGCAATAAATATAACCAATAATCATTTGTACCGATAGTATGTGAAATAAATTTTGAAAAATTAATCTACCTTCTTGTGTTGTAGTAGGTAAAAATGTATCTGTCATAACTAATTCCGCACCCTTTCCCTCCAAATCCCACAGTTCTATTTCAGCTGCATTACCAGCAGCTTTCGCTGCACCGAGTGCAGTAATATCAGGTACCGTTGATCTAACTAAAATTGGATATATGCTTTGTAAATTATCATGTCATTTTATAAAAATTCATTCACAATGTCAAGCGGTTACTTACAAACTGGTACTCCAGCAATGTCAGCTTGCAGTTGCATAAGTAAACTGTTAGTCGACATCTTGCCGTCGGTATAAAGTTTCGTTAACGGAAAACCGCAGTCTTTGAACATGGCTTCTAAAATATCTCTCGTTTGGAAGCAAACGGCCTCCAGCGATGCCCTTATTATATGGTCTCTCGTGGAATATGCCGTCATACCACAAATGATTCTACGCAAATAAGAAGATGCTCGTTATAAACTCTTTATACGTATCTAATCAGCATATATTCTATGCAAAACAATTATTTAAAATATTTATAAATACCAACCCTCTTGCGTCTTTTCTCCAATAAGGTGCATAAAGTCCCGAGAACGCAGGTACGAAGTATACATCGCCAGTATTGAAAACATTTTGAGCAAGATGTTCGCTCTCGTGTACGTCCTTCATCATCTTCATATTGTCGCGTAACCACTTGATCGCCAAACCAGCTACCGCTATCGAACCTTCCAATGCATACACTACTGGACTATTTGGTCCAAGCTGGTAGGCCACCGTTGTCACCAGTCCGTGTGATGAGAATACTCGCTGTAAATAATATAATTAGCAATATTACGAATACTCGATAATTGAGTTTGATAAAATTAAAAAAATGCATGTTTCTTACCTGAGTGCCAGTATTACAGAGTAAAAAACATCCACTTCTATATGTATTCTTTGCTTGACCCTGCTTTAGGCAGTTTTGTCCTACAAGTGCAGCTTGTTGATTACCTAATATCTAAAATATGCATTATATTTTTAGTCCCGGAATGTTTTATATTTGAAAATAGTTTTTAATCATTTTATACAAAAATCGACCTACTCCCGATATGGTTATATTCCGTAGTGGACCCACATTGATTTTACCGTAGATTTCAGAACTACTTCGTATTTGTGGAAGAATATTCATGGGAATGTTAAAGTACCGACACAGCGTTACATCCCAACTCATTGTTTCAATGTTCATCAACATTGTTCTTGAGGCGTTTGTAACATCGGTTATATACAAGCCTCCATCCTTTCCTCCAGTCAGATTCTGTTGAATTGTAAATTATACGTGGATTATGTATAAAAATTACAAAATTTTTATATTTTTCTTTTCTATTTGTAATTGTTTAACCTCAAATACTGATTGGACAATAACGACGAACCAATAAATTTAAGGCTAATATCAGCTTGAACGTTTATAAATATGTAGTGCTGATTGCGTATATTACTTAAATGTAAGTCAGTTTATCTTTTGATAACCCAGTGATGAATGAGTTATTAACATGTAACGAGCATTAGTGGTACCGGTAATCATTAATTTGAAAAAAAAATTATCTAAAGCCAGAGAAAAGACATTATAATTGACACGAAGAAGAAAAGAATATAGATTGAAAATACAATTAATTGCGATTTCCCTTTGCATCTAAAAAATTTAAATTTCTTACCCAGACCAACCAGGTATCTAGGGTACCGAACATACATCGCCGTTCGCGCATGGCTTTTCTCACAGCAGGTACATGTTTCATTAGCCATCGAATTTTCAACGCTGAAAAGTACGAGCTAACCGGTAAACCGCAAAGCGGTCGCAAATGATTCTTGTCGTTGTCTGGAAACCTTGCTACAATCTGGTCGACCATCTTGTCCGTTCGTATGTCTGACCACACTGCAAAAAAATTTTATTTCAGATAAATATTGTCGAATATTTTACGATCTCGCGAAACAGGTTCTAGAAATAAAAATCTTCATCTCATTGCTCTGTTTACTTTAATAAAATGCATTTCACGCTTTACGATTATATGAAATGCTCATCTCAAGGTCACTCATAAAAAAAACTCACAAATAGCATTATAGAGAGCATCTCCAGTCTTCGAATCCCAGACAAGTGTCGTTTCCCTCGAATTGCAAATGCCAATCGTAACAATATTCTCCGCATCCATGCCCTTAGTAGTCATCTTCTTAAGTACTTCCGAGATGCAGACGTTTACCGCCGACTTGATTTCTTTTGGATCTTGCTCGACCCATCCTTCTTGCGGTGTTATCTGTTCTATATCGATGTAGTGCGATTCTACTTCTGCTACTAACTTTGCATTAAAGATCTAAGGAAAGAGAAAAAAAAAAGTTGCAATATCGAGTTCTCAGAAAGAAGTGTTTTATCGCGTTGTAGCCGTGACAGTCGTGAATTGTTTTTAAGATACAATGTAACGTTTACAATGGTTCGTATATTGACGAAAAACCGTCGCAAGGTTGGCACGAATCGTTCAGTTCTGCGTCAAATCAATATGTCATCGAGCGTAGATGAAGTTCTGCTAGCAGGACGCGACTGCTAAGTTATTGAAGCCTTGCGGTCACAATAACGTCCGACGAGGAAAACGCGTCTGAGATCGATCTTTTGTGTACGCGATAAAGACGTAATCACTAAATCGAAGCTTTCGAAATTCTTCTACTTTCTCGTTGCACGCTAATATTTTAACGAGAAGTACTTACGACGAACCGAACGGTTCGCGTTCCGACGTCAATGACTCCGATAAACGAGCTGGGCTTGCTCGGCCTGGTGGGCATGGTTTCTGAAATTGATAAAAAGTCGTTTGTTAAAAGCTTTATCATATATGCTTAATTGAGCAACATATCGCACAAGCTTGATATGGACTCATCAATGTAGCAGTTGTCGTTTTGCAGTCTTTAAAGAAAAAAGTGTAATGGACGTTACGAAAATGTGTGGGAAAACCAATGAATTACAAAACTGGCAATTATGCCACGAAAGTAATTAATTTTCAAATTAGCATTTAATATCTGCGATACTCGGTGTAAAAAGTAACGTGTAATTAAAGACTGCATCTTTTAATTATTATTTTACAACAGCATAACGTGCGACGAGAAGAAGAGGCAGCCGATCGACGTAATTACCGAAACTGCACAAAGGAAAATGGAAATGCAACGTGTTGCGTTTACCTTCTCGACCTGCGAAAATCAAAGTGGAAAAAGATAGCAAAACAGCGAAATAGATGTTACGCGCACGACGAGACACAGCGCAATCGCTTCGAGCACTTGGGTGCGCGTGGCGTGTACACACCTCCAGGCGACGTCTGAACTCGAAATAAAGCAGCCCGCAGTCGTCGCGCCTATGCCATTCCTTTTCACGAAAGTCGCGCGCGTCATCGAGGCCGTCAATTCCATTGAGGAGGGATTTCATGCTTGCCATTGGTCGACGGTCGAAGGCTCGTCGTCACCGCCGTCTATGTGGTTAAAAAAATTCGCGTCAGAGACGCTCGCCGACTGCATGATAATTTCACAGATAACACAGAACGTCTCGTATGGGGACTGGCAATTTTCCGCGGAACGACGATTCCTTTTCAATCAATTACAGTTTTTATGGCAAAACAACCCTTTGTGAGGATTGAATTTGCCGAAATAAAGAAAAAAACAAAGAGCAATTAGATTTTATTGCGCGAGTGGTAGAGTATAATATTTGTTGTGATAGAGCGATTTCAACTTACAATTGTCAGAAATCTCGTTCAGAATCCGCAATCGTTTTCCTTTAAAAATGTCAATCCAATTTGCTTCCAGAACAAATTTACTTCAATTAAAAAGGTTTTCAATTTCTTTTTTCGCCAATTCGTTAGGTATACTCTTGTGGGTGTGGCATAATTCATCGACTTTGCTACTGGTCTTTTTTATTTAACGGATCGATAGGAAATCATAAAATTACACGGAAACCTGCCCAAACTCCTCGCGAAATTCGTCCGAAAGTTTCATCATCTATCTAGTTTTCGGAATAAAGTTAATTTAATGTATTCGAAAGAAAATTTGCACAACATTGCAGTTTGTGAGTATATATAATATAGTAATTAACGGTTATAATATTTATGTTGTCTATGCAAATGAACATGTAGACGCAACTGTATCTAAGAAAACATATTGCAATATTTGCTTTGTTAGGAAGTGACCCCATATTATCTTGTAAACAGTCCGTCTTTATTCACTAATCAACGACTCATTTTGTCGGAATCATTATATTGTTTTTGCGCTATTGAACTTTAGATTCTACGTATATACGCAGTTTAACGAGCGCGTTGTTAAAGCCCGTCAGCTTTATCATTAACCAGATACATTTTACGACCGTACATACGTTCTCTTGATAAAAAGTATGAAAAGCGATAGGTAAATGTAAATTCCCTACTGCAATATAAATATGTGATCGTGGGAAATGCTTTATCCGGTCATGATAAATATTACAATCTTTTCATTTGGAAAAGTAGAAAATAATCTATCGAATTATTATGTGTTTACAAGAATGGGGTTTGATCATTACGTAACATAAAACAAAAGTAGAAGAGAACAGCAGAATCGTAAATAAAAATTGGACTTAAGCCGTTTCGTAACGAAAATGTTATCTTCTCAGTGACCCTATATTCTATTTAATAGTTAATGAATAATACATTCCGGCAATAAATCAACAATTTCAGTTAAGTTCTAATTTCGCAAAAGCTTGCTACAACCGACGAGAAACGCGCGAGGAAAATAGCGAGAAGCCTCATCGATGAGATGAAACGACAAGCAGCGCAAATTACATCGAGACGCGCAGACGATGCGCAACTCGGTGAGAGTCATCGCGATTCGGCAATCAATCGGGCATCTTTGTTTTTTGTGCTGCGTATCATTTTTACATCTTCATCCCGGCACGTGCAAGTGTCTTTAGGCAAACGGCCAGACATGCCCCCTACTTCCTTGTTTCGTCAAATGCGCGAGGATTGTGAAATATTGTTGTATTTTATCTTTTCCGTGAAATGTAAATCAACCTTCTTTTCGTTCGCTTTCGGTTTCATTCGCCGGAACGTATCTGAGATAAACTTTGTATATGGCTGAAACCTGTTTATTTTTTATACTCAGCATTGTAGTATTGACTGCAGACGATTTAATCGTTTAAAGTTATTTAGTGTAGTGCAAACGTGAAAGGTGAGATGGTGTGCTGTGTTGTTCATTTAGATAAAAGTCTATGTAACGATTGATCTTAACATCTATCTACTCCAATGTGAGCTAAAGAGAATGACTTGTTAAACGAAATCAATATCAAAACTTAACAAATGTACGGAATTAGTTTTACGAAACTAATTATAGAACTGAGATTATTGTTCTAACGACTGTAATAAAAGTATGCATTGATAAATCTTCCATTCGCAATTTGTTATGACAGATCAAACTAATCACACTAAGATGAAACTAAAAAAAGGTATTTTATCAAATCTGACAGTCTTTCGGTAAATATTGTCAATAATTATATTCCATTACAATGCTTGGAAAAAAAAAACGGCTCATTTTTGTACAAAAGATTATACACAAGCGCAAATCAGTTGTCGTTGTTAATCTGACTGACCTGCGGGTAGTTCGGTTGATTGGCTTTCGAAAACAGTCTTGTCCTTGTCAGTGCTTCCTTCGCTCTTCTCACTCCCTTCGGCCATTCTGTTGTGCTCCGATAATTAAATCAGCAGGCAACGTTCGGCTCTCGCAGAACTATACGTTGCTGGCTGCAGACAAACTGGACTATCTGGAAAAATAAACACATATTTGTTTAAATTTCACTCGTTTAAGTTGACATACAACTGTGTTCTTTTCAAGAAATTACATATTCATGCGTATTTTCGTTTAAGACTAGTGTTTCATTGGTTTTAAGCTATTCTCAACTTGAATTGCTTGCTTAGGATAAAAAAACTAGACGCTTGTAACAGTTGTACTTGAGCAAAATTATCCAACTTTTTCGGACATTTCGAATGCAAATGTATCGCGAAAATTCATTCTGGTACGACATTGCGAATTTTAAATTTGATTGTATAAGTTTACGAACCTCATTTTTAATCGAAAAAAAATAGAAAGATCATTGTTATTTACAAAAAATTTTTATTAATAAAATTCTATAATAAGTGAAAAAGAAATATCCAAAAGTATAATGATTAATCGTTTTCGTAATGTGATTGAAAGGTTGTCAGACTATAGTATAAAAGTTATGACCACTTATTTATCGGTATTGCAATTGTCAAATTACACGTTGCATTGTCAATGATTTTTGTCTCCGAAAACTTTCTGAACAACCACTTGACGCCACACACACTGACGCGACAGAAAATCTCATATTCACGAATAATTCGATATCTTCGGCTGCGATATTTCCTTAGCGAAAATCCAAAACAAAAGGAATAATGCAACCATACACAACAAACCAGTTGTAAGCAAGAAGGAAAGAGATGAAGAACAAGAAGTTGTTGGCAGAAAGAAGATGAAGATGACGATGACGACGCGTCGACGAAGCAGCCAAGACTAAAGTTAGGCGTTTTTTGGGCCGATCGAGCGATTGGCACGTGAGCCGCAAACTTATAGTAGGTACATGCGCAGATGAGGAAATGAAAGGGACATGTGTCACGATTGCATAGTGTTGTTTTTACGTTCCTCTTTCTTCCGAGTCGCAGAACTGCTCGATAAAAATGATTGTCGATTAGAAAGAATCGTTCAACTGTTTTTATCAAGCCTGAGATTAAAGCGCGGAAACCTGATTTTGCAGGGGCGCGCGTTATCTAATTTTTTTGCTTTATCGACAATGAACTTACAGGTGGAATTTTTGGATTAGGTTGTGTCAGATACAATTTATCACTGAAATTGACTTCAAGATGACTGTCGGGATACACACACACACACACACACACACACACACACACACACACACACACACACACACACACACACACACACACACACACACATATTTGCGGATAACGCGTTACAATGGGAATGTAATAATGTTTTTGAAAGAAATTTGAAATGACAATTGACGAAAGTCTTAATTGTATACTTTGATTTGATACGTGCGAAAATATTTCTAAATAACATTAGATACGTTGAAAGCATTAGAAAATGATACTGTACTGTACGGAGTTATTATATTGCTCGAGGCAAGTGTCGAGGCTTATTCCATATTTCCATTGAATCGACATTCGAAATTTTGACAAAGTAGACCATTTTATATGAAAGAAGCAATTTTCCAATACAATTTCAAAAGTAATTTTAATGAATTATTAGACTTGCACCGATGAAAAAAAATCAACAAGCAAATATTTTGCTTCCACTATAGATACAAAAAACTACTATCGCAAACAATCGCTGTTCAAAGGTCTCATTGCGAAGAACATCCTGCGCGATGATCCAACAATGAATCGACATTTTCACAAGTGCCAAGGTACAAGGCTGAATGAAAAAGGTGGACTCGCCTCGGCAATTCGACCCGAAAGATAGCGATGAATATCGAGTGGACTTTCAACGGGATAGCGATTCGATGACGCGTCGCAGCTTTAAGAAATGAGATGAGCGAAAAATAAAAATAACGTGTTTGTCTTTTTCTGCTTACTACCATCGAGCGACATTTGGCTTTGAAGAAGCTCCGATGTTTTCTGATACGAGAGGCGGAGTTTTGATGAAATGTCGCATAAATATTTGCTCGAGCGAGTACTGGATGACGTCCGTCGAGCATTTTTAAATTAATAATTACTTTATTCTCGCGAGTAAAGTGTGTCATACAGTCACGATAAAAAGGAAATTGTCTAAAACGAATGGAAATGCGTACGCAACAAACGACAATACGCCACGCAAAAACAGTTTTACTCATAAACAGGTTTTGCATGCAAGTCTGTTCGATGACCGACTAAGCAGTCTTGTGTACGGCTAGAATTGCATATGCATTCGCCGACGTTCTCGAGAATAAAAGAAATGTGCAAATTGCAAAAAATGATAGTCGAAGTCACCTCCGCGGTCTGTTTTAAAGTAAATTATCGAAATCGAGATGACGGTTTTGGTGTATGTACGTGTGTACTGCACATGAAGTGGTCTAGAGTATCAAGGCCGCGTTCATAATGCGTTGGTTACCCGGGAAGCATCGGACTACCATGCAAGTACTAGCAGTTCGCCGGGCTTATATATCGCTTGCCGGGCGTTCCAGCCGCTCGCGAGTTGTCAGCGAGCTTTCGCCCGCCAAATACGAACTCGAGCGCTTGCGAGCCGAAGATTCGCAACAGTACCGCCATTCTCGCCGGCCGCCCCGATTTCCCAGCGAACACGAGCAACCGGACGAGTCGACTGGCACGTACGTCGATTTTTCGCGATGAGTTTTCGGCGACCTTTGGCAGTCGCGAACTCTGCCGAATCCAACGCCAAGACAGGTGAACGCACGCTCGACGTCCATCTGTCGGCACGTGGATTAACTACCGCGGCGCTTCGGCGCGATGCAACCTTGAACTCGCGCGCATGCACACGACTTACGCGGAAGCTCTGTCGAGAGTAACAATGCGGCATCTACTGTGAGCTTCAATGCTTTTTCCCCGCCTAGCTTTCCAGATATGGCTCTCCGAATCTCTTGGCAAATTATTAGACGTGTGTTCTGAGATTTTTTTACATACTCGGTCGACTAGGCATAAATATTGTTACCCACGCGCAATACGACCGTTGCAGTGTAGGCGTACAAAGTTTCTGTTTTGTTCTGAAAATAAAAAAAAAAAAGAAAGAGAATAAAAAACCAATCGAATGACGCAATCCATAACTCATGTGCGGTGCGTGTTGTATTTGAAATATTGATTCTTTTTTTAAAAGACGTTCAAAAGACTTTTTCACTTTGTTCAAGAAAATTCCAACGTTACTTGCAAGCCTTTCAATTTCGAGATTGTAATTTACAATTCGATAGATATCAGACAGCAGTGACCATTTGAAATAGCAATTGACAAATAAAGATTTGAGTACAGTCCTCGAAGTCTATGAAGTATGCAGTATTAGTACGTCGTGGCCTACATTAGCCAAACTTGACATTTGACTTTGTGGTTTTTGCTGCGTTTGAAAAAAAATTGGATGCAAGTTTACTTTGTAAATTTCGCATTTTGCACAATAACAGAAATGCTTACTGAAAATTCGATCCGACCGGATTCATGCCAATGAGAATTTTTGCTCGGTGAAATTGAAAATTATCAAACTCAAATTTGAATTCAAAGTGGCAAGTATCATGCAAAATTGATCGACTAAATATAACGCTGTTTGCATAAGCTCTTCACTTCTCAAAACAAAAAGTCATCCGAACGTCATAACCAAAGGCATTGCAAATTGACAATAAACCTGCTTGATTCATATTCACAGTAGCAACTGACCTATTTTCCCAGCAGCGGCGTGAGATTTGTCTCGATTGACGCACGCAGTTCTCACGCACATAACCGCGTGATAAGTTTCAAGGCTAGGCGGAGGGTGGCTATGTTGTTCGCTCTTTGCAGTGCCGAGAGCAACTCAAGGAACATCCCTCGCGGGCTTTATCATCTATACATACTCGACAAGCGGCGCAGTCGCGCTGGATATTACGTTGGACTTGACCTTTGCTTCTTTCAAGAATTTGACTTTTTTTTATCAGTATGTGAAACAGGTGGATCGCGTAAGTCAATAAGTTTTATGGTTATTAGTTTCGTTTCTTTCGTTGCAAAGTGAAGTTAACATTGGCGTGGAGCAATAACTAATCTTATTTTTTGTCGTAATGTCATTTAAGGTAAAGAAAAAATGTAAAGAAGCATAGGTCTACGAAAAAACTTGTATTTCAATCAGAGGGTAGTAAATAGTCAATATTTAATTCAAGAATGAAGAACTGTACGACATCGTAATTGAGATTCCGCCGACTCATCGCTCAAACGCGAATTCGCACTTATACTGTTAATATCCCCATTTTATACTACGAAATTTGAAAAATTTTATTTGTTAAAGTAAACATGATAATTTAAACAATAAAAGAAATTGGCATAATAGCAATATGTATTGCGATAAGCACGCCTATCATCGTCTATCTACTGCTAGTAGATTTCGCGAATCTAAGATGTCGTCTGCTAGCCAACCTACGTATGTACAATTCGTCACGTGCAAAACGATTTTGCAAGAGTAGTTTGATAATAAATATATCGCCGGGCATTCGATATCGTTAATGCAATAATAACATATTTTCTATTTACAATATAGCATTAAAAGATGATAGTGCTTGTACCAATTTTTGGTGTCAATTATTTCTAACTTATTATTTAATTTTAACTTTGGTAATAGATTTGTTTTTTCGATTAATCGCCCAGAATGTAAGAATTATACAATATTAGTCAGTAAATTTCCATAAAGTTTAAATGAGTCGTGTAAATGATTTCAAATATAACGTTCGAGTTAAAGATATTTTGTCTCTGTATGTAATATAAGAACTATATACGTTACTACTGAAAAATAAGATGTGCTTGAATTTAATTTAGATCAACCACAGATGAGTTAATGTTCAACCGTAATAATATTTTCTTTTGCCATAGAATGCTACTTTTTTAACCTAAAAGTATTTTGTTTCCTATCGTTGCATTTCAATTTTATTTGAAATATCAACGTATACTATAAATAATTATATCAAGAAATAAATTAATGGAGCTTACGTAATCATAAAAAAAGAAAATCTTAAAACATAAAAAGAGTAAAAAAGGGCTCTGGCCAAAACTAACCTTTTAACCGACAAGTGCTTTTCTTCGATCGTAATACAGCTCAGACACTATCACAATCACGAAATCATGCCAGTTCATCACTCCGTATTTATTAGTCGCTGGCATAATGGTGCATCAAATTTAAAAAAAGCCAATTAATGTCATTTACAAGTCAGCGAAAAATAGCGCCGGAATTGATAACGGAAACGCACGTGTATCACACACCCATGTAAATCGCTAATACCTTTCCTCTTGCACTACCTATACGAAAACAAAACCACAAAAAGAAAAATTTTAGATCTACATTGAAATTGATAAAACATAAAACTGGAACAAAATGGTAGTCGAGGAAAGAAATGAATTATATGACGAAAAAGGAAAAGGTAGGTACGTTCATTTTGTCTAAGGGGTAAATTTTTCACTTTCGTTCACAAGCAAACTGCAGACTACTACTTGTGCAAGTAGCAAGAGAGAAAATACACGACATGAAGGGAATCGCATGTTCCAAAATATTCAATCAGGCTGCCAACATTACAGTGGCAATGATGTATCTCTGTTAATTGTTAATGTGCTATATTCTGAATTTGGAAAAACAATGCATAATTATTCTAAGAAATTAATTATTGTCGTTTGTTTACATCACTTTCTATTTTATATTTAACTTTTGGTTAGAAAATTGCATACATTCACATTGAACTTGTGGCAACAATGACCGGAGAATGAGTGTCTGCTGCAGCCTGCACACCGATTTCGTGTTCTGCACATGGAGTCCTAAAGTTTTTATTAATCATTTGCAACATTTTCGATAATAATTTTCAATTCATGTTTCGGTTAATCACAGGTATGTTGAATTAACGAAGTACTTAATGGGAGGATGTCCGTAAATGCAGCTAGCACAAAAACAGAAATAAACGAGGATCCACTTGAGCGCATGTTAAAAAAGACTGGTTGCATTGATTTACACTATCAATTGCAAGTAAGACATTTGATTTAATGTTGGCAGATTAGGTGTTCATTGAATAAACTTTATCATAGTTATGAAGGATAAAATTAGGAATAATCTATTTGCATGCAAAAACAACTTATTGTAGTTTGTAACTCAAACATTAACTCTCTGTATTTATATTGATAAATTATTTTGCAAATAGATCAATCATTAAGTGTTTTCCTTTTTATATTTATATCATTGATTTCAACAGAATAATTGATTTTAAAAATAAGTATTATTTAAAAATTATAAATCAATACATGAAACCAAAATTCAGTTTATGAATATACTTTGCAAATTGTACAAACTGACTCATGAAATATTCTTTGTATTGTAGGAATGCTTTTTTGAGACTCAAGATTGGAGAAAGTGTCAAGATCAAGTAAAAGAATTTAAAAATTGTATGCTTGCGTATCAAAAGAAACAAGAAGAAAAATACAAAAATTCATAACATGTCGCTATTTCCAAGAACTTTACAAAAAATGGTCCTGATTGTTCGCACAGATCTAAACATGAGCCAGGGAAAAATAGCCTCTCAATGTGCACACGCAGCAATCGATTGTTATCTAAAGTCAAGGCAAGGCTTCCAGAAAATACTAGCTTCTAAAACATGGCTAGTGACAGGTCAACCTAAAGTTGTCCTAAAAGTAGATAATGAAAAAGAACTTTTAGAGATAGCAGATATGGCACATAAAGCAGGACTCATAGTCAGTGCTGTGAGAGATGCAGGCAAAACTCAGGTAAAACCTGGGACAATTACTGTTGTAGGAATCGGACCAGGTTTTGTAGATAGAGTTGATAGTATCACACAGCATTTGAAGTTATTATAATCTCTTTTATTATATAGATACTCAAAAGAGATAAATAGTTTTCAGATATTGTGAACTTATTTACTACTTGTGCATGTAGATATTTTTGTTGGTTGAGACAAAATATTATTTTGTATTCTCTTCAGTATATATTTGTTTACTATTTATCTCTTTCATAAAAGTTATGTATGTAAAAAATAAATAAAATTTTGTTAAAACTCTAATCACAGCATATTTCTTAATAACATGTTTTCTATTTAAATATTTGTTATTCTGTAAAGTTTGAAAAAATGTCATCTGTTTAATATAAATTTGAAAGAATATGTCGTGTACAAATGTTTCTATCTGTTTAATATGCTTGAATTCTTAAATTTATTGTGAAGTAGAAAATTTTATAAATTAAATGTTTTCATAAAATTTCAGTAAATTACATTTTTTTAAATAATATACGATTTCACCTGCTATATGATAATTACTGTGATATAGAATCTACAAGCAATGTTCATAAAAGATTATGATTTTAAATAGCATTTTTATGAAAAATGTTCTACTTTATATTAAAATACTATTATCTATATAGTGTAACTAAAATCAGTACAAGACTGACATAATTCAGCTTTAATTTGAAAAATGCTCAAAATATCTTTTATAAATTACTTTCTTTTCAACTATTGTTCTCAACCAAATATTATCGAAAATGTTGATTCTTATAAATTGAAATTGACGTAACAGTATTACTTTTTCTTTTTAAATTAATTGTGTTTGAATTACAATTAATCTGAAAATTGATTTTGAAATCCTAAATTTAAAGTTTACATACATTTTTTTGTCAATTTAAATACTGAAACTTTTAATCAATGATCTTGATATATTTACAATGTAGTTTAAAAGCCACACAATACTATAATTAAAGTTCTGTTTGAATGATAGACTTTTCAATTTCCACATATGAATAAACTAGAATTGTTCATTTTTGTCTTTCAAAACTACTTTAAATACGTAGACAAGATACATGCTTCGACATACACAATGTAAAAATAATTACGCTATAAGCAACAATTCTAAATTATGAATTCTAACGCCATTATCACATATTACAAAATAAAATATTTCTATGATAATTATAGCTATTAAATTGACAATCATTACTGTTGAATTAACAATTTCTTTGGTGTAAAATTTTTTCAGAAAACCACAAAATGTGGCTTTTGTAATTATGAACAGTGTATTATTAGTTTAGCTTCGTATACCGATTTGCTTTTTCTGAAGATTTGGTCATAAATTGAATGCATTTTATGGTTATTCAGAACGTTAATTATTCCTTAAAATAATAAAACTACTTTTGTGCTAATAATTATTACAAACTTATTTAATATTAGATAAAAAAAATATTTATAATGGAAAATTACAAAAATATACGAAATAAAAAATGCCAGATTAAATATTCAACAGTAAAAATCAGAGAACGATCGATTCTTCCTTTGAGATAAGATGTTTCTATATAAGCGCAATTTGACGCTAGAAATTCGTAAGTCAATTTGCGTGAGTAACAATTGTTGAATAAAATAAAAATATTTACAATTTCGGTCTCCAACGTGAAAATCTATAAGCAATTGGAATGGATAGTACTTTCGAATACTTTAATCATTTTGCCAAAATTATATCGTGAGTCGTTTCGAGTTTGTTTAATTGTATATTTGTCTAATAGAAATTGATATCAAAGGATAGTAGAAATCTCATCAGTCTCAAGAAGCATAAAGCATATCTTACACCTTACTTGAGAATAATACCCATACTTTTGGCAAATATACATTACGTCATCGTTGCATAGTTATATTCCATTTTGAATTTTCATTATCCATTCTTTTCTCTTGCTTTATAATTATTTCCATTGTCATATGAAGTTTGACGCAAAGATACGCATATCTTTTACATATTACTGTCCTACTTGATTGATTAAGTTCTTAAATTGTAAAGATAAAAGTTGAATAAACTGTCGAGAATTTAGCATTTTTTTAGCTTATTTTCTAAGATGGATTTTAACTTTACATTTTTAGTAGACTATAGAATATATAAAAGTTTTTCGCCACAGTCAAATGTAAAATTTTCATCACAAAACGGTATGTCAATAATTATACTTATAAACCTTATTCAACAAACTCATATAAACTTTACATAAAAAAATATGAAAAATGAATTAGATTTCAATTATTTTGTAAATTATCATCCAAATTGAAAGAATTAAAAGTAAAGCAAGTTAAAAAATTTACATTTAGGACGGAAAAAATATAAAATTGTCTATGTTGACGAGCTCAATCCTTAACAAGTGACTCTTATGTACATTCTTAAAAGAATTTATGCTATCACTTTTCGGAGCTCTGGTTCGACGTAATTGTTCAATACATGGGGCGCTTCATTGAACTCGTCGAGTTCATCACCATTATCAGCTCCCTGGGCAAGAAGAAAGTACTGCTCACTACGTGTTGGCCAAAGTAGATGAGCCATCACACAATAAGCGAAACAATCTACTGAGTAAGTAATACCTACACAATTTCGTTATGTTTTATTAGGGAAGAGAACTTAAAAATCATATTTTCTATTTAAAAATCATGTTTACCTAATAAAAGTTTAAATCTCCATAATGCACTAACTTGAAGAGCTATAAGGGCTATGACTGGCAGGTAAATAAACCATACCAACGACGATGCACCAAAATGAAGTAAGAAATTAAGTTTTTGAGTATTGTGCTCATACATCATAGTGTTTCGAAGTTCATATAAGAACCAAATCATGATGATACTTCTGAAGAAAAGTATAAACCATCCTGGCCACGTTTGATATTCATCAATATCTTCTATTATATCTACTTCCATCTGAAAAATTATTTTGAATGATTAATTAATTTTGATTGTGATTGATTTTTTTCTGAAATCCAAGTAATTATTTTTTTAATTTAAATGTACCATATTCCAAACATATAGTAGTATATGGACTACTCCATAACAAAGCCATATTGCAAATACCAAAGGCTTCCAAGATAATTCCTGTCTAGTTACAGCCCAACCTTTGGCTAGTAAAAGTAACAATAACATAAATGAAGTCTGTAAGATTAAAAATGATTAATATTGATTTAAAATTGAAGATTCACACTTGAAAAACCCATACTTGAATTCAACGTCTTACCCTAGATAAAATATCAAAGATATCACCAGCAACTTCCAATTGTACATAACCAACACCATCAAGGGCAAATTTAAGAACATGAGTTAAGATTAAACAAAGACCCATGAATTCTAGAAGTAAACTTGCTGTGAAAAGTCTTGTGACAGGGTGCTTTTGTAAGCGCACAGCATAGAATTGTATAGGTACTAGGATGAGATAGCACACAAAAAACAACAAATAAAGTTCAATTGTATTCTGTCTATCATAAGAAAACTGATAAGTCAGAACATTTAAAGCACTATTATTGGGATTTCCATTAACAAGCCACACATTATATTCCAACTCATCTTGCTTATCATAATATTCCCACCTACAAGTTGTACTATTTCTATAGCAAGACACTAAACTAATGTACCAAAATCGTGGTTGCCAAGTATTTTGAATTGTATATGTAAATTGATTTCCACTAATCACATTCCAAGATACATTTTCATCTGGGCATAACTTTCCTTTTGGACAAGGTACTCTCCTAAAATATGAATTTGATTTTTAACATATGGTGCATTTTGTTTTATATTATCGTTACAAAAAAATATTTTTCATATATTTTACCTCAAATAATCTTGACCTTCATCGTTGCATTTTGAGTCGTATGAACTCTGATTAAGCGTATTAAACATCATGGCACATGCAATGTTCTTATTTATAATTGTTCGATTCCCATAATACTCAAGAAAATGACTGCGATCCAAGACAGCTAGAGTTATATTTTGTGAAAAGTTTGTTTTTCCTGTAATATTTCCAAAAATATAGCCATAAGTTTCTTTCTGCCTATGTTGATCTGTCTTTTGAAAGCCAAATTTAATGAGGAACTTGAAGAAATCTTTGGTGTTGAAAGTACCACTGATATGTGTTGTACTAACGTGGTTAAGTAACAACAGTAATATCAGTGGTGTCAGCCACATTAATCTTAACTTTTTCAAACTCATTGTGGTTGATTGCTTCAACTGTCAAGAAGTTGACGCAAATTTTCTAGACATTTTTTCATCAGCACATCTGTTCCACTGCTCGAACATTCATAGCTAGGGTTCTCAATTCTCCTTTTGACTTCTCTTCATTTATAGCTATAAAAAATAAATGAAAAAATTACTTATTTCAATGAAATGATAAATTTAAGAAGTGAAACATGATTGAAAAGTAGTTTTCAAAAGTAACAGAGTTTGCAAAAGAATATTATGTTCATAAGGTTTAAACAATTTGCCAACATGGACACATTGATCTATGATTTCAACTATGGATTAATCCAACACAACAAAATTTCAGCCATTACGTGTTCAAACAGTAAGAAAGTCGACGGTATTGCATAAAAAATTCAATCTCAAAGACCTAGAAGTCCTTGTAACCACATTTGTATTGTCACCTACACGTATATATCAAATGCACCCCATACGAGCATATTCGTCATCTTATACATACTTAGGTATCTTCGATAACATACACCAGGGTCATGGTGAAATATTATCACATATCGGTCGAATCATTCTTGAAGTAAAAAAAGAAAAAATTACTTACTTCTCGCAATGCTTTTCCATATTGTTATCTTTCGCTCTGAGCAAACTTTCAAAAATAACCTAAAAATTGACAGCAGCCTGGACGCTTTCACTTTGTTTCGTGCAGCTGCGTGACTCCGACTACATCGAAGTTTTAGTTGTTGATAGCGCTCATGCAGCTTTTTTCTCCGTCAAAGAGAGCGCGCGAGACGGACTTTTGAACGGCGCCGCTTCCTTATTGATTTTCCCCGCCCAGAAGGCATGCTCGAAGCTTTTTAGCTGCGCTGGTCGCCCGGAAAATTACGCCTGATATAATCGTCTTTATTTTCATCTGGAATAGTATATATTATATGAATTACTTTGCGGCTTGTGACTGGCATATATCGTTACTAATATGTCACTAGCTGAAATGTGCTTGAATAGAATGTAAATTTCCACGTGATTGTTAAATGTGCTTTTATTATTCTATTCAATTAACGACTCTCGATTTGATAATATTATATATTTTTATGTGGGTTAACAAAATATTACACTATGACATTTTTTATTGATTTTGTTTTTATACTGCTGAATTAATGTTAAATATAATAATTAATTATTGATATGGTAAGATTTCATGTCAGTAAAAACTTAATGAATTAAATTTCGCTATTGTTTTAAGAAACACTGGAACACTGAAAATTCATAAATTAAATTTAAATTGGTTCGTAGAACATTATTAAATTAGCATTAATGTTTGCGATCTGCATAGTAATAAATATGTTTGCGTAAGATTTCGGCAATAATTATAATACAAATACTATCTATGAAAATATATGAATGATTCAGACAAAAGTAACATAAATTCTTTGTTAATTTTTATTTTAATTAATGAAAGTATATCCGTACATCATGCCATTTTAATTTCTTTTATCATAAATATCGATCAACAATTTACTAAATTGTCTTATATCGCTGATATAAATAGATATTTTGTACAAATTATTGAATATTTCATATAAACTACGTAACACTAACAAATTATTATTGAAGCACTATGTTTAAAAATTTGTCTTTTGCTTTGTGTTTGAAAAAATCAATTTTTCAAAATTCAAATATATATAAATACTGTATTTAGAAAGCATAATATTGATTTTAGAATAAGCTATTTAAATTTTTCATTTTGAGTTGTCCATCTTTTTTTTTATTTCTATCATTATACACGCACAAACTTATAATTTCAGATGTACATATATATCGTATTCAAATTTGGTACGAATGTTATTACTATTGTTACATAATTGTGGAGTTTTATTTGCGCCGATGAAAATATGAATTTCTATTAATTTTTGAATCGTATTACAGTATTTAAGAGAACGGATAGAATAGATACAGAGGAATAAAATCAGTGAATTATTGCCTACAATCTCACGAGCACCTTACGTGCGTCGCCGTTTCGAGATTCCGCCATGGTGTCGGGTAATGGAGACTAGACTCCCTTGTAGAGGTCTACAGCACGCGAAAAACTACCGATAAGCCTGGCAAGATCCGTACCAACTGTCTGTAGTCACAAAGGAGGCATGCAACTTGTTTTCCTCTTGTTCTGTTAATATCGGAGATGAGTTGACTTTGAAAATCGTAGCTGTCACGACGCTTTCGATCCCTACAGCATACTTTTATTCTTTGGATTCTCGTTCACTGTACCTCGATCATAGCTGCAACATTAAAAAAAAGTCTCCGTTGAAACTTTGTCGAAAAAATTTGAATCGCCAGTTGCAGATAAAAAATCACACGACGAAATTGTTTTTATCTTGACCATGATGCTGAGCTATGTGCGTACCTAAGCAGAACCGATTCAAGTTTGGGAAAGAGATATTCATATTTTCATGGACACAATCGACAAAGTGAAACTAAATAAAGTGTTTCAAAGAGAGTGTCACGCATTGATTTTTCACGTCCCTTTGTAGTTGTACGTTGTTCTTTTAGCAGATGAAAGCGATAATATATCATAAAAATAAATCATTTTAAAGTTTAAATGATCTCAACAAAATTAATTAAACAAAAGCTAGCTTCAAATTTTTTTTACATTACCTATAAATTTATGCTTCACTCAAGGTAACAATGAAATGGGTCCATCCCGACTGCATACTATTTCAAATGAGCTCGTTATCATTGAAAATGCTTGAACCGTTTCAGAGATATGCGCGAACAAAAAAAAATTCAGGTCGAATACAGAAACTCCACTGTTTTGAAGTTGACAAAAAGGAATAACGCTTGCCGAGCATAAACAATTAGCTTGCTGAATATTTTTTTAATGAAATAATATTACGATAAAAAAAATTTATATTTAAAATATTATATGTCACTAATGTTTTTGGTAGCGTTTTTCAACTTAATTATGGTATAAACACATTTTAATAGTATGTCAGAATAATGAAACGTTACATTTTTATCAAATCGACTGGAATTGTCTGGTTATCTTAAAAATCATCTTTAAAATTCAAGAGATATGAAAATAAGCAATAAAAAGGACGTAAAATTCAGGCTGTAATGGCCCAGCAACAAGTTGCCCTTGGAGAAATTGCTCGAGCAGCCTGATTTTCTTTTCTGTCAGATTTTTTTTCCCAAGCATTCTTTTCATACCTCTCTTTTTTTTCGGGGTTGATTATCGTGTCACTCGAAAACTGACTGCACTGATGTAACGTCCTTTTTTTTTCTTCTTGCCCCACTCCCTCTCGCCTATAAAAGAAAATGAGCTCATTTACGATAGTCCTTATTTTCCTCTCACAGCTTTTGTTTTTTTTCTTAATTTTATTGTATTTTGATAGCCCACTTAGGATCTTATTGGAGTGCTTCGTAGCGCATTTGAAAGTTCACAACGAGATTACTTTGGAGAAGTTTATTGGTGCATTGATTTAGGAGAAGTCGCGAGAAAAAAAAATCCGTAACTTTTTAATCATACAATTACAGGAAATTCGTGTCACCGAACAGTTGACAATTAGCAATATTTGACCAATAAATACTACGAAAGACACTAATGTCTTGAGGAAGTATTAAAAGTACGTTTATGAATCGTTATTTCAATAACACATCTGTATAATATAAACTATCATTGATATAATGGTAATCTATTGAAATTAAATAAATACTACACAAGATTTCCAACAAATAATAAACAAAAGATAGGTACAAAGTCATTTCATTAAATTGAAGTTTCCTTTCAGGTAAATTGAAAATTTGACGATAAAGTATTATTTCAGCGAGGCACTGTCCCATTATCCAAATGTCTCGTTATCACGTGGAAGCGTCGCGGCAGGAAAACGCGCAGCAACAGCAGAAGCTCGGCCGAAATTCCGTAGCTCTGCAGCGGCGGTAACGTCATATCAGGCGCCGAGTGCGCACAGCGCTTATTTATGCAAGCGGAAAGTGCGCGGATAAAATCTCATCCCCGCGCGGCGTGGCGCGGCGGTCTCCGCCCCTCGCGCCACCTGTATACCTATGCATTATTTGCACTCGTTGCCCCACTGCATATATGTACTTTTCGAATCTCGCTTGAATCCAAATTTCGAATCTACGAAGAGGGGGAGAGGGGGTAGCAGGCTCTCGGCTGCTTCTGCTTTGGCATTTCGCTTCGTTCCTTATCTCTCTGTTTGCTTCTAGACCGCTGTAATCCGCAGCTGGCTGATGCTAATATTTTGGCCGCTTGACATCAACAGTACGCAAAAGTGGCGATAAGAAATATTTGTAATTTTCATTTATTTGCGTATATTGTTACCATTTATTTTCTTTAAAAAGATTCGATCTCTTGGAGAATATTGCTATCAGTCACTTGAAAGCATTTAAATGATGTTATCATCAATTATTATGAAAAGATACATATATAAGCGCTGATTAGCATAGAACAACGAAAAAATTGTCTCTTTCTTAGTTCGGTAATGAAAAGGATTCAAGGCGTTTTGTCAAGTTTTCCCTTGAGCACGCATATGCGAGAACAGAATCTCTTCTGGTACAGCAATAAGTTTTCGGTTGGATCGTATCGAAGCAATTGATTACGATCTCATTCTTTTTTTCACTCAATTACTTGAATGCGTAATAAAGAACACTTTATAATTTGAAATATATTACGTTGTCGCGTCATCCTAATTCTGATTCGTAATTAAATAGCAAACTGCAATTTTACAATAATGGCAGTGCGTCGCTATAATATTTTATCATCTACTTTATATGAAAATTTATATTAAAGTAGTTAGTAAAGTAACAACTCTAATTATAAAAAATCTATTAAACTTTATTAGGAAAATTATTATGATACATAAATGTTACACATTCATCAAATTTAATTTTATTAATGAGATAACATTAGTTAAGAAAAGCAAGTAAATACGTCAAAGCATACTCGTACATTTGCATATATTTCATTTTTATATAATAATTTATAAAAGCTAGGTGAACCCTACATGGGGATTGCTATGCGAAAAATGCTGTAATTTGTCACCAAAAGTGGAGTTTTTATTAACTGAAGGCTAATTTTAAAGCTTATGACAATGTTTGATTACTTTCATCTAGCTCAAGCTATCATAATTTAAAGTAAGTCTCTTTATATCGAGTACAGATATAAAGTGAATCCAGTAAAGGACTATTTAGAAAAAGATGCTTTTTATCAATCTAAATCATGTGTGAACCTTACAAATGATATGCTATCAATATTTCTAACAATTTATTATGTAAAACTTAATTGGTACTATGTGAAAATATATGAATAAACATTAATTTTGAAAAATAAAACAATATTCAAATATTTTGTTGATAACTTTAATAACTACATCTATTTTGGCTTGTTTAGCAGTTTTATTATATATATAGGAAAGAGTGGCGCGCACCACCTAATAAGTTTCACCAACTTGATTATTATACGTCGCCAAAAACCTCAATCCATTTCGCACTCCAATAGCTATCGTTAGCAACTCAATGACGTTCAATTTGATTTCCTTGCCAATGTCGGCTTTTGTGAGTAAGGAGTACATTAGCGCTAACAGAACTGGTGAGACGTTCGCTCGTCGCGACAGTTGACTCTACGCTAAGCCGCGTGCGCATGTTTACTCGACTAGGCTCTCAAGCCGGCAACACATGCACACGCACGCACGCACGCACACACACACACACGCACACACACACACACACACACACACACACACGTACAAAACAGACATTCGACCGAATAAGATGCGCGCGATGATTCATACTGACAAATAATTAATGGCCCAAACAAACTAATTGTCAAAATTATTTGTTTGACTTTGTACATAAATTCAAAACTGGAACGCAACAAAAGTATCGTTGTGATTTTTACTCATGGTTCATTATTCGTGTTTGATATAGTTCCATTTCAGGTACACCCGAACGAAAAAAAAAAATTAAATAAAATAATTAGAACGGTATTTGGCTTTGTTTACACGCCAACAAATATCTAACTAACGAAAACAGTATCATTCGTAACGAGTTAACAAAATATAAATATAAGTTAATTATAATCAAATTTTATAAAGATATTGTTTGATTGAGCGATGAACAAGTATTACCTCATTCCTCACATTAAAAAATTCATGCCAGTATTATATTAGCGTGTAGATAAATATATTAATTTTATTTGTCATTTATCTATATAATACTGATTTTAATAATAATATAATAAATTCCTAGGTGATGGATTTTTGATGAAGTAAAAGACGACGAAGTGAATGTTGTACCGCCGGTTTATAAGCTAAGTAACTCGTATCCGTTCAAGGAAAATTTGAGTAGCTGGAAAATGCAATCGTTTTAACATAAAATGATTGCTATAAAACGGATTTTACAGTCGCAGGCATTTTAAATACGTATTACCGTCGTTACTTGACATTAACAACAAAATATCACAGTGCACAGTACGTGTGATTGTGAATCAAGATAAAATATTATACGATAGCGAAGAATTCAAAGTTAATTTTTTTATAATCCCTAACTGCATTATTCGGTCAATCAAGTGTGAATACTAGAAAATTTAAGGAATAAGTTGAAATTTACGTTCAGAACGACTTAAAGTGCGTCAATTAATTCCGCTTGCAACGACATGATAATTTGCCGCAATCATCAGTTATTTTACGTATTTTTTCAACTGCTACCTAAAGACACACATAAAAGCAAACAAACTGCAGTACAATGGAACTTTTATCTGCAAGCGAATAAACAAAAATTATAGGATCACAGGCGTGAAACCGAAATAATCTGCGCGGTTTGAAAAGTATTTTTTTAATCGGCCTTTTGCGAATCTTCATTGATAGACAAAAAGCACATAAATTGCGCTGCTCTGATGATACTTTTACAAGGCACAAAACTGTTGAAGCGTTATGTTTTTGGTAGAGTTAATGGTCTCTTTCCTCGTATTCCGTTAACGTTTAAAGACTTTCTATAGACAAGGAGTCATCGGGCGTAGGACATCAGAAGTTTACCATAGTGAAAAAAAGATAGTTATATGATATTATTGCACTAATAATATTAATGTAGTAGATCCATATTTGTTATCATTGCTCGCATCCTGCGCAATGACAGACATATCTATATATTAAACAAATAATTTGTTTTTTAACTTAATAATCTTTATACACATCCGACGCCCATTGTCCGACCTTCGATGTCTCCTTACGTAGAAAACTTTTTAATAATTTCTCGCAAGAGTCATATGCAGTCGATAAACGAAATTGATTGGCGCTTGCCAACTTTTTTTATCAGTAAAAAAAATCATGATTCCCACGGAAATAATCTAGCAGATAACAAATTAATTTTATTAATTGTTCGCAGTATGCGCCAAGGGCAATTTCTCGGATGCGAGATAAATAGTATGCGTGTGCGATTTGATAGCATGAGCAATATTTCCAGCGGAAAAAGATTACTTTGCTGGGGAAATTGGCTTCACGGGTGTTTAAACGTCAGCTTGTTTTTGCAACGATGATGACGACATGCTTAGAAAATTTAACCATAATATAATAATATCTGATAAGATCATTGACAAACAAGGGAATTTCTTCATAGATAAATGAGCGTGTACGTTCAAAACAAATCATACGAGTATGAACGGTACTCCAAAGTAGGAAAATACCTAGGTAATGATCATGTTTATCAACTTTGTATATTCATTTCGACGATCACTTTGTAACCTGTGACAAATGTAGGGTATGAATACTCGAAGAGATGGATGAAAGTCAATGTCTAAAGAGCTTTCAATAAAAAATACGCGATATGTTAATCATCGATGAGCTCTCTCTCTCTCTCTCTCCCTCTCAATCTATATAAATTTTTTCACTCGGCGGATTGGGTTTTTGAAAGAGCTTTTTTCGTCACTTGTGATTCAATGCCCATTTAATCGTACAATTAAGAGATGCGAGATCAAACGAAACGCCGATGTAATTAAGTTACGAAGTCGTTCGCGGAATCAACGTACCGATATGGAGAAAGATAACTGAATAATTTTAAAGACCGAGAGACGGAAACGTGAAACAACAAACGAACGGACAGTTGAAAAAGGTCGTTTTTGAAATCTCGAAGGCGTCGAAAAAAGAAAAGGGTAGAAGGGCGATCGAAGCCCGTGCAATGAATGTCAACTTGAAATTCAACACGTTCCGAATGTCCAGCCACTGGCAGAGCTTTCATTCACATTCCCTGCGTGACTGTGCGCACATACGAACTTTCGTACATCCGATAGTCTCAAAGCTCCGAGCTTCACCACCCGGCTACGTGTATGTACATATGCATGTGAACATTTGCACGGTGGAGAGTCCTTATCGGAAACAGACATACAGGCAGGTAGAGAGAGAGAGAGAGAGAGAGAGAGCAAGTGCGCAGCTACTCGTTACGCCGATAAACCGAAGCAAATAGAGTGGCAGAGTTGCTGGGCTCACGAGTCGTTAGATGCGATGGCGGGGTGCGAGAATCTGATAGCATTGCTGACTCCGCTGTCGCGCGCGCGAAAAAAGCTCGCCCACCAAATCCGCCCATCGAGCGTCAAAGCTCAAATTAGAGGAACTGACCGCTGCTGCTAGCGCTGCTGTCGCGCGCGCCGCAGAGAAAGCTTCGTACCCCAATACCGTAATTCTTGGCGCGGGCCACTGCTGCCTGCCTCGCTTCCAATCTTTTCGGCCGTTCACTTCGTTTTGCCAAGCGTCGCCCTTCCTGCAATTGGATCATTGACATTCGCTCGATCGCGATGCGCTCTCTGCGCGCACGCGGCGATGCTTGTTGTTCTCTTATTTCGAACAATTTGAAAACTCAAATCGACGTTTCCCGAATGTATTGCAGTTCAGGTACCGACATTTATTTCGATTAGATGAATAATAGTTAGGAATATCACTTAACTAAAACACGCAGCAATTTTGTTCGGA